ATCGTCGGAAACCTCTGAGGCTTGAGTGTCTTCGGAGTCGGATGGGTCTCCAGCATTAGCGACCTCGCCGTCAGAAACCTCGGAGACGTCAGTATCTTGATTGGCGGAATCGACAGCAGTTTTACTATCGCTAGAAAGAGCTTTTAGTTTATTTAGAGATTCTTGTACACCTTCCTGGATGAGTGTTAATGTGTCGTTTAATGATGCTACATCATTTTGGGTTTTGTCAGTAGCCGTTTGTAATCTAGAGAAAGTGAATGCCTGGCTTGTCTAAAAATTACAATATTAAAAAAAATATATTAGTTAGGCACAGTCACATATTTATTAAAAATAAGAAACTTACGACCATTCGCCAATATTATGTTAAGCGAGTCGCATTGAAAATTAGGATATATTGAATCTTCTGGTTACTGATACTTACGCAGGCTAGGAAAAGAACGCAAGCAAAAACTGCTAGTTTTGCCATATTCATGCCACGATTGTAACACTGACGGAACTATATTTTTCATGAAGGATGTGACCCTTATATATACTTCAATTCGTGGTATCGCTATCAAAATAAAAAACTGTTTCTGACTATAAATATTTGTCGAAATTTGATACCAATTGTGTAAACCTGGTAAAGCGTCTACGATTGTGATTTTCTCGACTGTACAAAGTAGTTTATTATAATATCATATATAAGTTGTAATTATTATTTTTAATTAATCCTTCCTAGTTACTTTTGGTATCATTGCGTGAAAAATTCACGAAAATTTGACGCAGTAGGCAACGTGTGTATATCAAATATGTCAATATTAATTTACTAACCGAACGTTTCTTTTATTTATACAGCTACTTTCTTCAGTTATAACATTATTACACACGTATTAAGGCACAATAACATAACACATTCGTTATTTATAACCGCAATAATATTGGCATTTTCTTATTTGCCAATTTCTCTATGATTTGCTTTTAATCGTAACATGTAAACGGAAAAAGCGAAAGCGAGGATTCGTTGAAGAATGCGTAAGAAAGTAAAACTATATTAACTTTGTTATAAGAAGTTCTATGAAGCTCATAAACACCTGCGGGAAATTTTGATGTAGGTATCGATTTTACTTGACTGTTTTAAAAATACTGGCGGAAAATGTTTATGATGGTGATGAGTATACAATTTATTATGGTATTCTTATTCGCATATTTTAATTAATGCTACGTAAGGCTTCTACCCTACACTCGCACGTCTTGAAGTGTTCTTTTTTCTCTTACTTCGTCGTCCGATCACCGACAGCGTGCTATTCCTCGGCGGTCTCGCTTAGCGCGCGCGTTTGCCACCATTTACTTAGACGAGCTGTGAAACGCCACGTACGCTACCATATAAAGAATTTCAAACGACGCATATAATACTGTGTGTCACAGTAGATTATGCTCCGGATAATTAACCCCAGACGGATACGTCGGGCTGCCTGACTCCAAAATTCGATCGGAATGAGGTTAAGGTATAAACAGAGCCTCGAAACGATTGTCACCTCCACCATAAGTTTATTTGGACCCTTTGAGGAATGGAGAGACAACTGGCAGTATCAGTTATTTCGTAACTTTGGTGCCATAAACATATATCATAGAGACCCCTCGACATCGAATGTTCCGTTTACCCTTGTCAGTATTCTAGAAATTTGTTAAGTTATCCCTACGGAAATCTGAATCTTGACATTGATCATATTCCAGTTTGCTCTACTATACGAGATACATACAAACTTTGAAGCTACGTACTATGGCAAAGATCCCGAGCCTTTGCTGATGAAGAATGAATTTCTCGAGTACGCTCCATTGATCGTTATCGGTTGCTCCAAGCAAAACGAGTCCCTCAAATTTGGATCTGTCGATATTCATCTGGAATTCGAGGCGGAAGACAATTTCCCTGTCGATACATCGGCATTCTGCCTGATCCTGCACGATCGCATCGTAGAATACAATCCAATCAGTGGTGGAATGAAAAAATTGATATAAAGAGGCTGCAATCATCTCTCCCTATGCAGTTTATCAAAATGGAATTCATCGTTACACTTACATTTTATATCTGTAAATTATAGATTTCAGTGCTTAAAGCTTCTATATTACATTGAGCAACAAAACCTTGTGATATCCCCCAAAAAACACTTACGTGTAAAAAACTACGCCAAGTACAGAAGTGCTGTGAATTCCTGTGACAAAAAGTATTGAAATCATATTATTGAGGCCAAGTACATAAGTCACTACATGTTTACCTATTATATGATCTAGTACTGGTCCATCATGTTAGTTGTATTTTCAAAATTTCCTATGTTTTCGCCACTCTTTTACATTACTACTGCTTCCGGTAGTTGATTATGATTTAATGGTCATTTAATAATTAACAAAACTTTAGGTGATTTCTTATCGAGTACTACTTGGCGGGTCCAAATTTACATCAAGAAATACAAAATTCCCGGAATAGAGCAAAAATTTTTGAAATCGAGGGTTTTGATGACGTAACTTCCAGAAATTGTGGGCGCAGATGTTGCCAACTTAGCACGGACACTACCCTTCGAAGGCTCTCGAATGATGGTAAATGTCGGTTCCAGGAATCTTGGTCTACACCGGCACAGCTACACTACTAATCAGGTTGTTGAAAGCATTAGGAGTGGAAATCATAATGGAGGGTAGAAAAGGTAATTTTAATAAAAACAGCGAAAGCCATAGGAGATAATTCGCTTATATATTCATTAGCACAATCAATTAGATAGATCTATAATAGATTAATAGATTAATTAAATTGATCTAAATAATTGCTGAATAATGTTTTATGAACAGAAGAAAATGTCAGGGTTTGTAGACTTGCTACAATCTGCTTCTTTGAATGCATCAGTAGCTTTGAAGTCGATAGACTGCTTGAGATAAGACGCCTAATCTGAAGTTTCATCCGAGTTCTCTGAAACCTCGGAAGCTTCACTGTCTTCAGTGGATGATGACTCTGAAGCATGTGCGACCTCATCGTGGGAAATTTCGAAAGCTACAGTATCTTCGGAGACGGATGATTATGCAACGTCTACGGACTCGTCCTTGGAAGCCTCGAAGGCTTCCGTGTCTTCGGAGACGGATGATTCAGTAGCATCTACGACCTCCATTTCTGAATTGTTGGAAACTTCACTTTTTTCCGAAGAATTTCGGCGTTCGATATTTAATATTATTCCAAGACTTTTGGATCCACTGCTTGAGAGTACCGATGATTCCTTTGTCATTGGAATCTCCAGTGTCTTCGGAAAGCGATGACTCTGCAGCGATAGCGACGCCATCGTCGGGAACTTCGAAGGCTTCAGTATTTTCGGAGACGAATGAGTCTATAGCATCTGTGACCTCATCGTTGGACACTGCGGAGGCTTCAATGTCTTTGGAGATGGATGACTCTTCATCAACGGAAACTTCGGAGGCTACTGTATCTTCGGAGGTGGATGATTTTTCAACATCTACGATCTCTTCCTCGGAAACCTCGGAGGCTTCAATGTCTTTGGAGATGGATGACTCTTCATCAACGGAAACTTCGGAGGCTACTGTATCCTCGGAGGTGGATGATTTTTCAACATCTACGATCTCTTCCTCGGAAACCTCGGAGGCTTCAATGTCTTTGGAGATGGATGACTCTTCATCAACGGAAACTTCGGAGGCTACTGTATCCTCGGAGGTGGATGATTTTTCAACATCTACGATCTCTTCCTCGGAAACCTCGGAGGCTTCAATGTCTTTGGAGATGGATGACTCTTCATCAACGGAAACTTCGGAGGCTACTGTATCCTCGGAGGTGGATGATTTTTCAACATCTACGATCTCTTCCTCGGAAACCTCGGAGGCTTCAATGTCTTTGGAGATGGATGACTCTTCATCAACGGAAACTTCGGAGGCTACTGTATCCTCGGAGGTGGATGATTTTTCAACATCTACGATCTCTTCCTCGGAAACCTCGGAGGCTTCAATGTCTTTGGAGATGGATGACTCTTCATCAACGGAAACTTCGGAGGCTACTGTATCCTCGGAGGTGGATGATTTTTCAACATCTACGATCTCTTCCTCGGAAACCTCGGAGGCTTCAATGTCTTTGGAGATGGATGACTCTTCATCAACGGAAACTTCGGAGGCTACTGTATCCTCGGAGGTGGATGATTTTTCAACATCTACGATCTCTTCCTCGGAAACCTCGGAGGCTTCAATGTCTTTGGAGATGGATGACTCTTCATCAACGGAAACTTCGGAGGCTACTGTATCCTCGGAGGTGGATGATTTTTCAACATCTACGATCTCTTCCTCGGAAACCTCGGAGGCTTCAATGTCTTTGGAGATGGATGACTCTTCATCAACGGAAACTTCGGAGGCTACTGTATCCTCGGAGGTGGATGATTTTTCAACATCTACGATCTCTTCCTCGGAAACCTCGGAGGCTTCAATGTCTTTGGAGATGGATGACTCTTCATCAACGGAAACTTCGGAGGCTACTGTATCCTCGGAGGTGGATGATTTTTCAACATCTACGATCTCTTCCTCGGAAACCTCGGAGGCTTCAATGTCTTTGGAGATGGATGACTCTTCATCAACGGAAACTTCGGAGGCTACTGTATCCTCGGAGGTGGATGATTTTTCAACATCTACGATCTCTTCCTCGGAAACCTCGGAGGCTTCAATGTCTTTGGAGATGGATGACTCTTCATCAACGGAAACTTCGGAGGCTACTGTATCCTCGGAGGTGGATGATTTTTCAACATCTACGATCTCTTCCTCGGAAACCTCGGAGGCTTCAATGTCTTTGGAGATGGATGACTCTTCATCAACGGAAACTTCGGAGGCTACTGTATCCTCGGAGGTGGATGATTTTTCAACATCTACGATCTCTTCCTCGGAAACCTCGGAGGCTTCAATGTCTTTGGAGATGGATGACTCTTCATCAACGGAAACTTCGGAGGCTACTGTATCCTCGGAGGTGGATGATTTTTCAACATCTACGATCTCTTCCTCGGAAACCTCGGAGGCTTCAATGTCTTTGGAGATGGATGACTCTTCATCAACGGAAACTTCGGAGGCTACTGTATCCTCGGAGGTGGATGATTTTTCAACATCTACGATCTCTTCCTCGGAAACCTCGGAGGCTTCAATGTCTTTGGAGATGGATGACTCTTCATCAACGGAAACTTCGGAGGCTACTGTATCCTCGGAGGTGACAATAACTTCAGAGACGGATGTCTCTGCAGTGTCAGCGACCTCGTCTTTGGTATCCTTAGAGACTTCAGTGACTTCGGACACGGATAACTCTGCATCATCTGCGACTTCATCGTCGGAAACATCGGAGACTTCGATGTCTTCGGGGACCGATGACTTTGCAGAATCAGCAGCTTCATCGAAGGCTTCACTTTCTTCGTAAAGGTCACTGCTTGAGGAGTTAAATATATCTCGATCATCTTCGAGCCAATTTGGAATAGTTTCGGAAATTCCGCTCTCTTTGCTTCCTTCGGTCTCTGCACTTTCTTCAGTGCTCTGTATGCAGGATTCCACATTTTGAATAAGGATGGAACGTTGACCGTTAAGTCTGTGAAGGGTCTTGGCAACTGAGCAACCAGCTTTATTGACATCAAGAGCTCTAATGAGTGTGACGTATTTAAGAATTGCAATCGATACTTTCGATTTGCTAGTTTGTGAGAGAGTTGAAGCGATGCTCTGATGCTGAAAAGATTGTAATTAATTTTAATATTGTTACCGCGTGTTACAATATTTTTATTATAATAATGCATATTTCATCCTTGATTAATTGTCATATTTAAATGGAATTGAAGTCTTACGATGCTTTGGCATTGTTCAGCATTTTTGGATTCCAATCGGCATTTGGCAGCAGAGGACAGTGCATCATGAATTTCAGCTATGATGGTATTGGTTTCTTCGATAAACTGGTTCAAGTACTTCTCTTCAGTTTTAATTACTGAATTTATGCAATTTGTGGTTTCAGAGATGCTACTCATAGCATTGGACTCAAACGTAATACCAATAACAGCGCACTTCTTTACGTCTTTTGTCGTGACAGAGTTGATTAAGCTTCGAACTCTTACTCTAGCCTGTTAGATAATTAAGATCATTAAGTAATATGACTGGAGGTGTAGTTGGCAGATCATTTACACAAAATGATATGTTACGTACATCGTTGATGATTAAATCGACAATTGTATGCACATTATTGACTATTCTCTTGACAGCAGTTTTACGATTGTTGACAAGAAATTTTAGTTTATCTAGAGATTCTTCTAGAGCTTTCTTGACCCGTTCTAATGTGTTGCTTAATATAGATTCTATATCATTTCGGGTTTTACCGATAGCCGTTTGTAATCCGGAAAGAGTGAATGCCTGGCTTGTCTAAAAATTAAAATATTAAAAAGATATATTGGTCATGCACAGTTATATATTTATGCAAAATTTGAAACTTACGACCATTCGCCAACATTTTGTTAAGCAAGTGGCAGTTAAAATTAGGATATATTGAAATTTCTGGTTACTGATACTTACGCAGGCTAGGAAAAGAACGCAAGCAAAAACTGCTAGTTTTGTCATTTTGATGCCGCAGTTGTAACACTGACGGAACTATATTTTCACGAAGAATATGGCCTTTATATATACTTTAATTCGTGGTATCGCTATTAATATTTGTCGAAATTCGACACCATTTGTGTCAACCTTGTATGGCGACTATGATTGTGATTTTCTCGACTGTAGAAAGTAGTTTATTATAATTGTCATATATAAGTTGTAATTATTATTTTTAATTAATCCCTCCTAGTTACTTTTGATATCTTTGTGTGAAAAATTCTCGAAACTTTACGCAGTAAGCAACGTGTGTATCAAATATGTCAACATTAATTTGCTAACTGAACGTTTTTTTATTTATACAGCTACTTTCTTTAGTTATAACGTATTCAAGCACACTGACTTAACACATTCGTCATTTATAGCCGCAATTTTTTTCCCAAAAAAACTTTTGTATAAAAAAGTTCGCTAAATATAGAATTGCTGTGAGTTCCAATTTTGAAAAGAAAAATCATAATATCTATTTCTTACATTATTGATCGAAATACAAAAAATATTGAAATCATATCATGATGTCCAGTACATAACTCACTACATAACTACTTATTATACGATATAGCAATATTATTGAAATAATTTTAATTAATTTGCAGAATTTCCAGTTACGATTTCACTAGCCTTGTGTGTTATTTCTTTTGCTTATACTTAATTATGATTTAATTGTCATTTAATAATTTTTACAATGTTAAGTGATTCCTTATAGAGTACTACTTATCGTATCCATATTTAAGAAAAATTTGTCTTTATTATGCCAATCTTTGACTACAAAACAAGTCAACTGTCAAAACAGGAAACGCATGACATTCGGAGATGCTGTGAATTATCTAACTTTATGACTCTTATTCAGATGTGGATACGTTAATGTAAGAAAGAATAAAAACATGATCAACATTTGACAGCACATGTTCAAAATATATTGAGGAAATGGAAAACCAATGAGTTTTTTGGGTACGATAAGATTTGAACCCAGTAATTTAGACTAGGAGAATGCCAAGAAATACGATTATCGTCGTGGCATTTTTCTGTTTGCTAATTCTTCTATGATTTGCGTTCAATCGTAACGTGTAAACGAAAAAGAGAAAGCAATCCCTAAGATTGGTTGAAGAATACGTAAAATTGTAAAACTTTATGTTATATAGCGTGACAATAGAGAGCGCACTCGTAACAAACAAACAATAAGGATGGGCGGTTAGTGTCAACAATAGCCGATAGATGAAAAACATCTCTTGAAATTCAATCCACGGAAAATAATAGAAATAATATACAATAGAGGATTGGCGCTCTCCGCTAATCCATGTAGCATTTTAATTATTTAAATAATGCATTTCAAATTAAGAATTGAAAAAGTTCAATTTTCAACATTGAACAAGTACATCGACCGTGAATAATAAGACATTAGGCGTGACTCAAATCTTTGAGCTCGATTTAGGCTCTCTGGGAAAGAGCATAGTAATTCCATAAACTTGTTGTGAAGAATTTTATCGGAGGCTAGCTCCATACTAGCGCTCGCTATTCCGCCGAGCCCGTCCTGTTATTGTCAAAGTTTGACAATTGTCAAAGTTGAGGAGAGCACTGCGATCTACCTCAGAAACCTCAGTTGACGCCATATTGATTTCGATGTATTGATCGATGTTATCGATGTATTATCGCCGTGATTAGTCGATTCGCACAGAGCGCCAGTAAGGCCACGTTACTAACGCAGGCGCATCGTCTGTTCCACAAAGACAGGTCAGAGAGAGATAGGAATATACAAACAAATATAGGACGCTTCCCTGACAATTTTTTCCTACAATACCGACATTTATTTTCGACGATTGTAATTGACGCACATGGAAAAACTGTTGTACCTGTCGTCGATAATTTAATATATCTTTGTTATTTGATTTCATCATTTTATCCTATGTCGCGTAAGTTCTTAAAGACGCCAGCCCCGAGCATTTACCTACATCCCATTTCATACGCTCATAAGGAGCGTACAAAATAGCACTATCAATAAACGTTACCATTAACTTCGTTATAAGATGTTCTATGAAGCTCATAAACACCTGCGCGACATTTTCATGCAGTTATCGGTTTTACTCGACTTTCTTAAAAATGCTAGTAGAAATTGTCTCACATTTAAGGATGATGACGAATAGCGCGCGTAGGAGTATTGCTCAAACTCAAAACGATAGAGGAGACGAAGCGACGTCGTTAGGCAATACGAAAAGACCCATTTGTAGAATATTGTCGGTCTATTCTTGACCGTCCATTTTCAGGCTTATGATGTCCCAAAAAAGCATTCGTTGTCGAATGCTAATAATTAGGTAAATAGTACAGACCAATACTATAGTACTCAAATCCGCTCCTATAAATGTAGCAGAGCAAAGTCCCCAAAATTATTTTACCATATACAGAAGTAATGTGCTTTTTATCTGCTAATTTCTTGCTAAATTAAACATTTTTGTGCGCCTTACGTTTTTCTGTAAAATCAATTTCCAAAGTGCGCCGCTAGCCTTATACGAAGCTAGCAGAGCACTGGATATATCGTCGATATCATGGAGTCAAATTACACTGCAATTATGTGCTCTTTATGTGTTTTCCGAATATTCCAAACACACACCCCTAAATCAAGCATTTCTGCCAATACCACCCCTAAGAGGCTAACTTCAAAATCGAATCTCGTCGATTTTTTATAAAAATTAGGTGTCTGTTTTGGATATTCGAGAAGCACATAAAGAGCACTAAAATATGTTGTATTTTAATTTAATACTATCGAAAAAATACACGAGATTTGATTTTGAAGTTAGCTTGGGCCTCTTAGGGGTGCTATTCGCAGAATTGCTTGATTTAGGGGCGTGTGTTTTGAATATTTGGCAAGCATATAAAGAGCACATAATTTCAATGTAATTTAACTCCATGATATCGAAGATATATTTAGTGCTCTGCTAGCTTCGTATAAAGCTAGCGGCAAATTTTGGGGACTTCGCTCTGCTACCTTTATAGAGGTCTCAAATCCGTCAAGTGTTAATCATCCTTTAAGTGAGTCACTGCTAGACAGCATGTAAAATTTCACCACTAGGGTACATTATGTGGTATAGACTTATACCGCAAAAAGTAAGTTCGCGAAATGTGATATAAATGTATAGCACATAATATACCCTACTGGTACATTCATACAAGCTGTGTAGTACTGGCTCGTTTAAGGGTGATTAAGATTTGACTTATTTGAGTGCCCTAGTGTTGGACTCAAATATTGACCAACCATTATTTATTATTATTATTATATTAGATATTCAACAACGAATGTTTTTTTTTGGATATCATAAGCCTAAAAGTGGATGGTCAAGAGTAGGGCGATAATTTTTTACAAATATGCCCTTATATGTTATCTGGGATACAGGTATTCATACCTGTATAGTACACTTTCCAATGCGACTCTACAGAATCGATACAACCAGATTTTCCAGTTGTCGAACACCTATCCTTAACTATCGGCCACGTTTCGTTGTATCCGTACATTCAGGCGAGTTTCAAATGCGAGACAGCAAGGAGTCCAAGATTATTCTCAAGGGATACTTACTGGAAGCAAGTAGCTCCTTAACTACTTGTCAACCGATGATAATTTCCGTTCAAGCTCCCCGTTGGTATCGTCTAGCTTTACGACATCATTTAGCAGATAATCACTCTTGATTTTCTTTTTACCTGTTTGAGAAAAAAGAAATTATTTACTCCTTACGGAAAACCGGTGTTAACACACACATACCCAAGCTATGAGATTTCTGATTATCCTGACGTGATACGTGGCAGCGGTATTCTTGGCCTTCGGATCCTATATCTGAAGTGCTTCTCATTTTCTTCCCCAATTCCGTGCAAACTTCTAGACGGAGAGGTCATTACGTCTTTGGAGTATCTGCAAGAAAAGAGATAATAAAAAGGAAAATCCTCGACAACGTTCTCACAGTGTGCAATTTCCTTTTCCATCCGCATCACCCTTTCTGCTTATCTTTCCACTTCTGAATTCTCGCTAGAAGAGAGTATTCGTGCAAAAATTACTGGAACTGAGGTAAAGTTGGAAACGCGTCAAGTATCGCGCGAAAGTGCACCTATTGTATGAGAGTATTAATTGGGTAGTCCATATGTCACTTAACTATCATGAATAACATCTAATACAATATTGTCGTACTGTAGCTGGCTCATTGAACTTGTCACCGATAATAAATATAACATGGATATGAATTAGATTAACTATACGAATTCGAAGAAATTTTGTAATGTATCTTTTTACTTATTCACTTTTTAGTTAAGCGTAAGAATATTCAACGTATTAATAATGCTACTGATTGAATATCTCGAAAAAAGAAACGTTTCTATTATATTATGTTTCTATTATATAATATTCTTCTATAATTGTAATATAATTTACAAAAAACAACTTAATTATTAATATCATTGATTGTCATAACATTATATACACATAACCCGTACTTCCACACACATTACACATTACGTTACGTGCATCACACTGCTGAAGATGAGCTCAGTTAGATGATCCTAAGCTGCACGGTACACTTCTTCATAAAAAGTCGGTCCATCGATTAGTCCACGTTGATATGAAGTTCTCGGTATTATTGGGATGATGATATTGATGATAATTGTATCATTAAATAGTCGCCTATACAGAAAAATTGACAAAGAAATCCCAAAGGTATTGAAGCGTTTTTTAAAGAAATGATCATATATGGTAGATTGAATTATACCTGTCGTTCAGCTATAATTTGGCTGTAAATTCGTCTGGTTAGTTGATATTTCGAGGTGCGACTAAAGTTTTGGGACCAGGAGTGACCAAATCTGTTGACCGATATTACCACCCTTTCTAATGTCATGTAGTTTTTTACAATTTTTAATCGAATTTGAAACTATCATTTACATAGTCAATTGTGCTTAGTTACTGTGGAGCAAATTATGATCTATATCATAAATCAAACAAACAGGCAACAGTTTGACGTGTAATTATATCTTGTATGAGGTATCAAGTATTCGATATTAATAATTTGGAAACCTCTGTGAAATATTTTTGTAAAATGACGAGTTTTTTTTGACTAAGTTAAGGTACTCACTTATTTTGTAGGTCAAAGTAATGTCTTTTTCTTCATATTAGAAGTTGCTGTCCATTTGAATAATGTCTGTACTGTAAAGGAATTCTGTTTCTGATGATCGGTATTTCAGCAGATTGTTGAGTGAGTCAATATGCACAGCTAATTTGAAACTGGCGCTTCTCGACTTGATACTTCGACAACCGTGATGTTTTCTTGCTATACGTCGTGAACTGTATGTCTGGTGACGCATACTGATGTATAAAATCAAAATATTCTTAGCAACTTGTGTCAAATCAACATTTCATATACCAGAAGAGAATTTTCTTTGCAGACAAGGTGGCTCGTAAATACGATTGCAGCTGATCAAATATGGATATGCTGATTTAATGTTTGAGTCCTGTCTGTATTCAATTCGTTTGATAATATAAAGTACATTATCCTGGTTAGCAGAACATTTCTCACTTAATCACAGCGTTTTATTGAGTCTAGAGTAGTAATTTCGTTGTATAAGTGCTTAAAATCGCGCGAGGGTGTTATAGTACTCTTTCTATTATCAATTCTAACAAATTTATTTTAAACAAAATAAAATTATTATATCATAGCAAATAAAAAATATTATACAAAGATGTAAATTAATGAGACTTTTTCGTTACACTAAAAGAAAAATTATAATTTATATAACATTTCGAAATAGATTTTATATTTTTTTTATATATAGTATATCAGAGGAAGGTTCCTTTTCTACTACTATTAGCGATTTACAAAATCATTAAACTATTTCACACAACACCTATTCGTACTCACTCATTATCCGTTCTGTATTGCCGAAGACGATAATATTTGCAGCTTATCATGTTTGTAAAATATCCTGGAGTAAGTCCGTTGTATTATATTCCATTAGGCGAATACGTTTGAGTCGTTCTTCAGATTTATATACATTCTTGGTTCAGGTATTTATAAGTAAGATGAAACGGTGAAAATCCCTTATGCCTTAATGATAAATCAGAATGGGAGAAACAGCGTGACTTTTACTATGACTTTTTAAATAACAAATGTATTTACCTGTGTGGTCTACTATCGTTGACAATCCGCAAGCGAAATGGACGATTCCCGTATCGCCTTCCAGATGACTATCATCAGGGATAATAGCCTAGATGGGGATAGATCATAGCGAACTCTAAAGGCGAATACAACAAATAACCAGGATATTCTACCGGTAATATAAATTTCTACTACAGCGTAAAACCTTACGCACGTGTATCGAATACTATTTTTTGATGCCCGATGCGTAAAATATGTATGAACCCGTACGTAAAAAGTAACGGAGGATCACGCAAGTGTTAGAACGGGAAATCGGTGGAGGGGTTGGCGGAGCCGCCCCCCCCCCCCCCAAAAA